TACGATGCGTTATTATCAATATTTTCTTAGGAAATTCAACTTTCTGGACTTCATTTATTTTCAGACTCCGTTAATTAGGGGATATCGAAGGAAAACTATATGCCTCTTCAAAGAAAGCAACTGTTTTCGAAAAGGTTAAAATTCCCTAGTGAATATCCCTATTTTCCCTCCAATGAAAACAACTAATATTCGATGAAGATCTTCTCAGTCTTTTGGAGAACATCCAAAATGGATAAACTCGAAATTCCTCAAATAAATTAATTCTGACAAAGTTCCATTTTGTAAAAATATTCGTAAACACTCGGGGTACATATTATTAATGATTTCAGCGCTTTAAATTAATTTAACTTTTTGACAATTGAATATTTAAAAGATGTTAGTTTATTTCTCGGCGAATAAATTTAAACTCGAGATTGTCTTTTCTGGGTAAATGGTGTCAAAACTCAGTGTTTTGAAAATTTAGTAAGGTCGTTTTTATTTTCTATATTTATTTGTTGTTTCTATTAATACAGTTTTTTTTATATCAAACATTTACTAAAAATGTTTTATTCATTTTCGGGATAAATTAAAAATTTAAATTTCCTAATTTCTTAGTTACTTAATATTTAATTATAATTTATAATTCAAAAATTTCAGATTGTTTGTTGATATAGACTTTTTATCAAAAGGAAAATTAAAGTTTGGCAGCTTTCTGACAGCATTTATAATGCCAATCATTTTTAATAAATTGCAAAATTTTAAATTGAATTCATTTATAACTTTTATAATTTACAGATAATAACCTACTTATTATTTATAAATTAAAAATTAGATTGATCCGCTAAAGTTTATGCATTAAAGTTGGCTAGCTGTAAGTATCTTTAAATAAAAATATATCATATCAATCATTTTTAATAAAAAGAAAACATTTAAATACAATTAATAATAATATCTTAGTTTCTTTATAACTAATTATACTACATTTCAGTTTAAAAATGTTTTGATTATTTGCTAATTAAAAATTAGTCTTGGTAGCAAAATTTTATAACCTAAAAACTTGCTCGTTATCTAGTATAATCAAACAGAAGTTTATCAAACCAAATATTTTTAGTAAAATAAATGCCTTTAATTTGAATTTATTTATTATTACTCATTATTTATAATTATTTATTTTTATTTATTACTGAATAACAAATATTTTGAAATTTTATAAATTTAAGTTTATTTATTGATAGAATATTAGTCTTTTTAGCAATATTGAACTATTAAAAGTTATCAGTTATATAAGATAAGTAAAAATATCATAACTGAAATTTTTGATTATTTTAACAAATAATTTCAAATTTGCACATAGGATTGAAGGACATTATTAAATCACCATTTAATTCATGAAAGTAAACCTAAAATACATTATCATGCAAATGTTACAGCCAAAGCGCATCAGTTAGCGAATCTGCAGATCAACTACACTGTAAAAATTCGATTATATATTAATACTAAATTTTGGATGTTTCACTTTTTACATTTTAAAAGTTCCATCAATGGAATGTCGTAAAGATTTGTGATGTTTGTTATTTTGATACAAAATTCTAAATAATATCATTGAGTGCTCTCATATTTCAAATATGATTGTTCTCAGTAAAAAAAATAAAATAAATAAATAAAATTAATATACGAAATGAAAAATTATTTGTAAACTCATTTTGAAAATATAATTTCAAAGAAAAAAACTTTTTAAACAGATTTTACATTATTTTCAATGAACACGGTAAAGAACTTGATATTTTTTAAACGCCTTTAACTGTTTTTAAAATTTTTTTTAAATGTTTTATTGTTTTTAATAACGTTTTTTTCCATCTATAGGTTGTATTTTTGTTGTTAAAATAAAATAAAATGAAATAAAATTATCAAACCTTCTAGAAATATGATATTTTGATTTAGTACATTGTATAACGAATTTAACGTTTTTCCTATTCTTGATTAGAAACACTGTGATTGTATGTAAACAAAAGATATTTGATTCGTATATCAAAACCAAATTAATCCACCTCGTACCATTTTTGAGGGGAAAAAGTCGCCAAACTTCTAGTAAATTCTCGAATATCTCCAATTCTAATGTATCTAGAGCCTCGAAACATTGTATATTAATTTTTGGTAAATAGTTATTTTCAGCCTTAATGTACTGGAAAGAAATACACCGAAGAGCCATTACATTACCCTCCACCCTCCATCTATAACAAGGGGCTCGCCCAGGTTTTCATGGTTTCTCATCCAGGAACAATGTTTTCATGGGGCACATTAGGACCCATAATCCTCATAGAACAATCCCTGACGTCTGTAAGCTACTTGAACATAGTTGCAGACCAGGTTCACCCATTCATGGCAACAGTTTTTCCTGCGAGGGATGGTGTTTACTAGAAGATAATGCACCATGTCATGAGGGTCGAATCGTCGAGGAACATTCCAGTGACTTTCAAGTCATGTCCTGGCCCCCAAATTCACCTGACCTTAATCCAATAGACCATTTGTGATCCCACTTGGAAAACCAAATTCGTGCAGGCATGCTACCTCCTCGCAATGTGAGGGAATTGCAGGACCAGTTGGTACCAGAAGCGCTTGGTACCAGATACCTCAGATTACCTTATCAGCACCTTGTGGAATCAATGCCACGGCGGGTGCTCGCAGTTTTGAGGGCTAAAGGTGGTCCTACATGTTATTAGCAGGGTGGTCATAATGTAACGGCTCTTCGGTGTATTTTCCTCTAAAGGATATTTTTCATGATGCTTAGTATAATTGTATATCTTTATAAATCCAAACAAAGGGACAAATTATGTAAGCATATGTTTGGTAATTTTGGACTTCCCGTAACTCTTTCTCAGCAAAAATATGCAAATCACAAACTCCATCCCTAGCTTACGTAAGAAAAATGCAACACCTACACCCTGGAATTAGCTTTAACTTTGACATTTACTGTAATTTAGTTTTGGGATGAAATTCAAGTAAAAAGATGAAGCTTTGCATTAAAGGAAGTTTTGGTTTTCATTCATTTTATAAAATTTTGAGTAGAATAGTTCTTTAGGCATATTTTGTTTTCAAAAACGGTTGACCTCTGAAACTCGTCGAAGAAATTTCATTGAAATTTTTTTCGTTCCCCGAATTCAACTTTTATTCCATTGATGAATAAAAGTCGAAATTCAAATAAAAAGATGAAACTTTGCATTAAATGAAATTTTTGTTTTCATTCATTTTATAAAATTTTGAGCTGAATAGGAATATATTGCTTTCAAAACAGTTGATCTCTGAAACTCCTCGAAAAAATTTCATTGAATTTTTTTTCTTTCCCCGAATTCAACTTTTATTCCATTGATGACTAAAAGTTGAAATTCTGAAATGAAGTTTTGGTTTTCATTCCTTTTATAAAATTTTGAGCAGAATAAGTCTTTAGGAACATTTTTTGCTTTCAAAAACGGTTGACCTCTAAAACTCTTCGAAAAAAATTAATTAATTTTTTTTCTTTCCCCGAATTCGAGATTTTTTTCCCCTTTTTAATTTAATTTTAAGACAGTTAATGAACAGCCGACCGAATTTTGAGTTTAAGACTACCAATACTCAACTCCGTAGCCTTGTAATTTTGCTCCCATTCCGGAAGACAGTGGAACTATTTTTCCCAGTATTGGGCGAAATTTGTCTTCATGGAGAGCTTTTTAGTGAAACTAACCCGCATTTGCGTTACATGAAAACATCCCATGGTTAGTCTGATTTCAAGAGGACGTTAACCCATGATCAGTCTACCAGTAAGCATAATTTACGTCAGCACCGTTGTCTGTACGATCCGAATGCGGAATTAACTCACATTTATTAACTAAATAAGACTTTTTTGTTATGAGTAGTATACAAATCGAAATATTTAATTATATATTAAATTTTGGTTAAGCTAAATCAAAGATTAGTTAGTTTACACATTAACCTAGAATGAACTCGTAACAAAAATGTAAGGTGTTTTTCAGGTGCAAAGCTCAATTTGAGGTTTATTCGAAGTTGACTTCAAAACAACGTTGAAAAGCCAACTTCTAAAGGCTTATGATCAAGGTGTATGAAATTGTTTTGGTCACTTTGAGGTTGTTTTGAGGTTTCTGCAAATGTGCCTCAGAGCAACCGCAATAGAGAAGTTATTTTTAAAAGTTTACCTGTCATATTTTTCTACACTTCAAGCAAATAAGTACATTTGAAGTGTGAAACTTCCCGATTTCAACTAATAGTATTGCTCAGCCATATATCAGATTTATTTTATGGGGCGTAAATGAGGTTGAAATTGTGGTTTATGGATGAGGTTATTTTTGGTGCAAAATCATAACCTTATTTTCTACCTTAAGTGTGCTTTTTTACAACTATCAACCACAAGGCAACCACCAAAACACCTTTTTTTTGTAAACAGAAAAAAAACTGTTGTAGACTTATGCCATTTAGGCAGAGGGGGTGTGATTGTTCTTGTTTTTTAGTGCCAAGAATTCGACTTCTGCCACATTCGTTTATAAGGAGGACCCATTCATACATCCACAGATCGTAATTTTGACCTGAATCAGAGAACGATCGATCTCCAATCCAGTACCCCCAGAGGTTTTGATTTGTTATGGGAGCATGGAGGATTTTGCTACTCGACATAATTTAACGTCACCAACTGCACGGGGAGTCTTCAGCCGGCGGAGTTCGAACCCGCGAACTCTCGGACATGGGCCCAGCGCCCTACCGACCAAGCTATCCCGGCCCAAAATTAAAAAAAAAGGAATTTTCAAGAAAACATTTATTTGGCCCAATTTTAATTATCGGTAAAACTCCTATACGGCCCATATTTTATAATTGGACTTTATAAATTTAGACATATGTATTAAAACAATAAACACTGTATTAAAAAAAAGCACAAGCAATTATGCATTGGGAGAAAATTTATTAAAATCTTTTTTACACTAATTTTACAGAATATTTACAGAATATCCATGTACAAAAATGAAATTTTTCCACGTATGAAGAGAAAACTTTTTTACTTATCTGATTTCTTTGTTATATTATATTAAAAAAATAAGGCCAGATTACTGGAATAAAAAATAATGATGATGAACCTCTAGATGCGATGAAGGTGCCCTGACGAATAAGTAAACTGATGAAAGCCCCTAATGAAGCTCCGGATAATGAAGAACCTATAATTAGAATGATGAAAGGAATTTAGTAAAATATTATAGAATTAGCAATCTATCTACAATACAGTAAAATTAAAATATTGCTTCAATGGAAAAAATTTCAAAAATAATGTCAAATATAACCATTGAAGAACGGTACTTAAAATGCAGTGATCAGTACATTACTTTAAACATTATCTCTGTATTCGAATAGAGAATAATTTCAAATTCTTTTTCTTTCAGAAGAACTTATTCCTATTCTTTTTATGTATAGAACATGCATATTTTTAGTTAGATATTTGTCAAAATATATTTTCTAATTAAAATATCTATCAATAAAGGTATGTTTATTTAGTTTTTAATAAACTAACTTAAAATCTAATTCAACTAAATAAGATATTTTAATGTATTTTGCAAGCAATAAATCACGATACGGCTAAATTTCAAAAGTTATGCTAAACTTGAAACATAATTTTAACGTATATTCTAGCATGAAACTTCATCGTAGAGGGCAGAATTTTTAGTTAATTATATTTTTAAAAAACTAACACGTTATTTTGTGAAAATATTTTTAAAAGAATAGACCCACCCTAAAAATTTCTTATTTCCCATTCAATAAACTATAATAAACAAGTTCATCTGAAATCGTTACTACTCAGATAAGTAGATTCTGAAAATCACGATTCAAGAACTCATGATCTACCGATGCGATAAAAATCATTGTAAATATAATTTACAGTAAACTTAATAACATTTAGCTAAATTTAAAATTAATGTTAAATAAATAATTAACCAAGTGTCCAAGATGCTAAATATTCATTCAAATTAAAAAATAATTATTTTTAATGCTTCTATCTCAATGAAATAGTCAAGCACGATAAAAAAAATTACCTTGTCAAATAAAATTTTTCACTTTAAACAACTCATTTAGAAATATTGTTTAACGATATATTATGACATTTGATGAAAATTCTATTACTTAACAGTTTGACCAACTTTACAATGCATTGTAGTTAGCGTTACATTTTTAATTTAGACCTCTTAACTCGTTATAAGTCGAATAGTATTAATATGTTAAAAGCGTTTTAAAATATACATAAATAATTGGAACTCAATTACGAAATTGAATGTAACGTGAAAATGTTTCTTTTGCAGTTAAAAGATTCAAGCCAATAACAAATTGTCCCAGTTTGTCAATGTGTATTTACTAAAAATGCTTTATTCAAATTGTAATTTATTGGTCAAATAACTTTAAAAAAATATAATATCTTAACTATTAAGTTACATTCTAGTAGTTACTTTTAAGCAGTTACATAATTTTCTAATAACATAAAAATGTTAATTCTTTTTTTTTAGCGGGGGGGAGGAGCGGTCAAAAAACTTATATATATTTTTTAAAAACATTAGCATATATATAGATATAGATCAATTTTCAAATTGAGACCTAATCTAAAGAGGGCTGGGTGGAGAATTAAAACTAGACGCATTTGGTAATAAAAATTAAGATTTCCCTGTAGAATCTCTGAGACCAACTCTGCATTACATTAAAATTTTTTACGATTAAATTGCATGTTTGAATCGAGAAATTAAACTTTTTTATGCATATGTTTAAAAAACAATAATTTACGTTTTCAGTCTCCCAAGAAATTAAATTACAGATCAACAACTAGGGCTCATAAATGCCTTCCTATTGGATGCATGCATGTCTCGAAGAATAAGTGATTATACTTAACCATGTGTTTTAAATCAGATTTAATGCTATACCCCTAAGCGACGTCTTGTTGAATTTGATTGGCTTCTGAATCAACGGAGGTCATAATTTGCCACCGATGACGTCACTTGGAGGTATCCAATTAGACTAAATTTGTGCAAAATTCGTAACAACAGTGACAACTTTCCTTTTCAATCTCGCAGGTTTAGCGATATACACTTAAAACACAATGAGTTGTAGAAATAACTTTCTACTTACTTGCATACTTACTATTTTTTGTATACTTACTTTTTACTGTTTTTTACGTAAACTTACTTTGAACATCTCTGGTACAGTACACCTGAAAAAATATAATATTTTATGTAGTAATGCAGTTAAATATAATAAACTATATGGCCCGTAAAGTAACTTCTCTCCGGTCCTTCAAGAAATTAGAATCAATTGAATCTATGCAGTTTATGGTCAAACTAAAAAAATATTCAAACAGCGTAACAGACTTATGGGCTTTTTGCAGAGATTATATTCTTCTAATTTGTTACTAATCTTTAACTATCTAATCTACTAATATTAACTGTAACTTTGTTACTAATCTTTAACTTTGTTACTAATCAAATTTAAAGGTCTTAAAAAATGGTCGCAACTAATAAAAGTTACAAAACTCAGTGCTTTCATTCTTGCAATATAATGCCCGTGGATTACTAAATCTTAAGATGTAAAGTTGTAACTAAACGCTAAATTTTCTTGCAGACCATAAATATTTTAACATTAAGAGTGGTAGGCATTTGTAGTTGGCATTGCATAACCCTTTGCTCTAGATAGTTAACCTAACTGTGCACTAATAATTAAACCTTCGTAATAGAGATATTACTCTTCTTCACTGCTCTGGTGCAAAGGTTAACTGTTTTTTTCAGTTTGATTTGATTGAAGAATTGTTTAGATTTGAGTTACATTCGAGAAGGTGATTTGTCGTTGGCCTTCTGAGCCCAAGTCTGCGGGTTCGATCCTCGTCCCAGACGCCGGATTTTCGGGATGTAGAAAATCCTCAGCGGCCATGTCGTATGATTATGCGACATGTAAAAGATCACTGGAGTGGCTCTTAAATTTTCCGGCAAAATTAAATTCCTAGTGCACTTTAGCATCCAAATAGAGTCTCGGTGCTGTCAACTAGTGTGGCAGAAATTAGACGTCCAAATTAACATGGCCAACGGTATCTCACCCATTGTGGTGGTCCTGAAAGAGTGGATACCACTTCTGGAGAACGCACTAGGTCTGCTCATCGGGAAGACTGATTGTGCAGCTTATTAGAAATTTAAGAAAACAAATATTTGAGAAGGTTCAATACCTTGTAATTTAGCGTTGCGACCAAACCGTAAACGTTCGGCAATTATGCAGGGTCTTCCTTAATGGCTGTATTTAGTATACATTTTTAAAATCCCACCCAATAGAGTCAAGTATACACATTAATGTTACAAATCAAAACTTAAACACGGAAAAAACAAAATCACTATTCAGATCAAGAGAATCTAAACTGAGAGAAATATGAGGGAAAATATCATAACCTGTTTAAATGGCAGAGAAAAAAAAGTTGAAAGGATAAGTACCCAAAAGTTTATTTAGGCAATTTATTTTATGTATTTCATCCTGCCTTTCTCACTTTTTATTCGATAGTGACTCACACTTTGTGAGATAATGAAAAAGCCTTTTCAATTTTGGGCAGAAACTAGAAAACAAAGCTGAATTTTTAAGAATTTTACAAATTTTTTTAAAAACTTCAAAAGGAATTAAAATTTAATTAAAAATAAAAGTTACCCTTTCTAAACTTTTAATATTTTCTTCAAACTTTGAGAAGTATTCCGAAGATTCCGAAAGTCCACTGGGGCTGACGTAAGAGCAGTCTAAAAATAGATAAGGGAAAAAAGTTATTAAACAAAAATTACACGAAAAAAGCTTATTTGTATTTCAATCAATCATTGTGGTTCATTTTAACAAAAAGCACTGTGTTTCACTGATAAATCAGATATTTTAAGAACTTTTGTTGTGTTAAAAACGCAAAAAACGTCATTTAAACTCTTTTCAAAGAATTATAATAAGATATTAATTTCAGAAAATAAAAAATCATCTGTTTCGCTTAAACGTTGTATTTCAAATCTACTAAAAGAAAAGCATTTAGTAAAGCATTAAGAAAAGCATTAGAAAGCATAAGAAGAAAAGCATTAGAAAGCATAAGGAGAAAAGCATTAGAAAGCATAAGGAGAAAAGCATTAGAAAGCATTTTTTATATTAAAATTTTGTCATCTTAATCTGCATAAAAAAGTTAAAAGTTAAAATTTTTAAAAAGTCTGATTAATTACTATTAATTTAATCGGCTTATCATTTTCACCTCTATTTACTGTCTGATAGCATATTATTAATATATTATCTTACAGAAAAGACAGAGAAAGAATACAAATACTTTAATATGTTTAAAGCTTTAATGCTCAATGCACTGCTTTCAAATAATCAGAACTAATGCATTCGGATTAAATATACAATGTAAAAATTTAATTAAATAATGCTTATTATTAGAGAGAAATTTCGGTCGTTTTTAAGTTAAATATTAAATAATTATTGAAACAAAATACATTTTAGCAATATACAGCATATAAATAGCTAAGTTTTATTAATTTTTGAGAACTAATGTTTTAAATTTTATTTTTGTTGTTTACTTCAAAACTTTAAAAAAATACTCAAAAATTAAGAATAAATAAGTTCCAACCTATATTGTAATGGATCCCTCCTAAACTCCAATTCATAAAAAATATATATTATCTATATGTGTATAATCTAAAATTTAGTAAAATATGAAAAATCTGTATATAAACCTTATAATGTATTAAAACTACAACTTGGAAAATGACATTTATTAAGAGAAAGTTTCTTTTTGTCAGTTTTCATTAAGTAGTTAAAATATACTGTTTTGTATGTACTGCATTTTAAGCGCACCATTATGTCAGAAAATATTCAGAGAGTTTAAATTTTTATTTTGCACAATGCATATAAGAAAAAGTAAACATATATTTTTTGCATTATAGTGAGCAATTTTTATCCTTTTTATCTTAAGATAAGATCAATATAAGATTGAGATTACATCTGAACATTCTCTATTTCGAAATGCCTCTCATAAAGGAATGCTTCCCGAAGAGAACCTCTATGTTTATTCCAATAAGTTTTTATTATATTTCTAATCCTATTTTCTATTACGCATCTAATTATATATACTGTAAGGATCAATATGCTATGAAGCAATATTTTAACCAAAGCATCATGAAGGGGTTTCTAGGACATAAGACAAAGAATGCAATAGTTCAAAAACTTAAATATAAGAAACTACATACTATTCTCAAATGCAGCTACAGTTGGTTGACTTTGTCTTCTGCAATAAGGCCTTTTTCGGCGATCCATTGCATGAGTCTGAAAAAAAAATTAAGTGATTAAATAATAAATGTAATTTAAAGCTTAAAAAAACTATGATTAATCAATATCTATCAACCTACTCTCTAAATTCAAATGTTTTTTTCTTCAATTAATCTAGTTACAAAAAAAATCATATTAGTCTACCTTGGATTCTTTCCCATACATCATATAAACAATGAAGTTTTAAAAAAATTATTTCTTGATTTAAATAATTGCTTAATAAATTTATAATATTTAAGTATTTATGACAATTACTTTATGAATATTAATTTTATAATGTCTACATATTTTTGACACTTACTTTATTCCTTTCAATGACTTACGTCATGCCATGACTTTTCAAAATGACCTTGGTGGCAATACAAATGTTAAAATAATTTAACGAAACGATAACATAACAGACTTAGCAATTTTTATTTTGCTGCTGCTATATTTTTTTAAGCATTTCTCTCGTGTTAACATATTATTTTTGTCTGTCTGTGGTCCCGTAACGTTATCTTGAATCTTTTAAAGTCAAGAACCGTTAGTACTCTGATTTTGAAGTTCGGACATCGACTACAAGGAGCAATTTTAAGTTCGATCCTAAAAATCGCATTAAGTTCTTAATTATTCCGTTCTGGAGAGATGTTTAAATAATGATTTTTTCATATTGCTTTAACATTAGCTATTGCTGTAAATAAAAACTTTAAAGATTTATTGCGTTTCTTACACGTTCAATCATTTTTGCAATCTCAGTAATGTAGATCGGAGATACGTTACTGATCTAGCATTTCTAAAGTTAACTGAAACAACGAGTTTATTTTGTTTATATTTGTGTTACTAAAACGTGTTTCCACAGAGTTAAAAAAAATCTTAACAATAATTAAAATGAAGAAAAATAAGTTATGTACTAAAAGGTATTTTTGATGGTGCTTTTTGAGTAAAATAATAAGAAGAGTATCAATTTTAAGGGAAACAAAGTTTGCAGATGTTTATCTCATATTATCAGCTCATTGTCCATCCCCTTTGTTATTTTTCATGTATGCATCTTGAAAAATGGTTCTGATTGTTTCGAGTTATGAATTGTGTAAATTTTATTGTAAAATTATTGCCAAATTGTGCAATGCGTTAACTTCCTGACACGATCTGAATTGTTCGTAACAGAAGAATAAATGGATGTAAAAAAGTTTTGAGTAAATCAGTAGAGACTGTAGCATTTGTCTTATTTTCCAGAATGAAAAATTTATTTTTAGGAAAACATTTTTTTTAAATTTGTAATTGCTAATTACAAATATTATGCTGCATAATTCTCATCTTTGTTGTTTTCAATTTACACTTCTTGAAAAATGGTTTTGATTCTAACTATCGGGTCGCGTAAAAATCAAAAAATTAAAATTTAAATAAAATATATAAAATTGCACTTGTAAGTTTTTGAAAGATGCTTTAATTATGTTTGAAAATAAAAAATATTAATTACCTTCTTCATTTTTCTCGTATTTTGACCAAACTTTGAAAAGCATGCAGATGATCCCAAGGGTGCATTATTATAAGGCAAAGCTAAGAAAAATGGAATAAAAATTATTTAACAGGAATTCAAAAGTAATTCAAGAGTAATGAGAGTGAGTCAAAAAGTAAATCAAGAGTAATTCAAGTCTAAGAGTAATTCAAAACGCTATATATCTAGAAAAATCATATAGTTTCTAGTTTCTTTCGTTTGTTGTTGAAATATTCTGTATATTCCGGCTATTTTCAAAGAATTAAAAGAGTATGTTAATTAAAATGTATTTTGGTTCAAGCTAGAAAATTTTATCTGCTCTAAAGCATGTGCCATTGAGTCTTAACTATCACCATCGAAAGGGATGGAGACCAATTTCTTAACTTTATCGACTATTAATTCCAATAACCTATAAACGTGCATTTCAATGACATTTAACAGATTGGTTTCCAACTATTAGAGTGATTTAAAATAAATCAGTTTAAATTCAGGTTTGCGTATCATGGCTGCAACTGTTTAACATCAAGCTACAGATTAAATACATTTCGTAAATTATTATTAAAATTTTTTTTTATTGTGATATTATTACTAAAGGAACAAATATTTCACATTAAAACGTATTTTTTAACCATTTCAGTTAATTCTAGATTTTTGAAAGTGAGCAAAAATAAAAATAAGAAGTTTCTATATTTTCTGAGGGTGTACTGAAATATCTACAGCAACCAAATATTCCAAATTGCGACTACCTCATTACTTTTAAAGCTGGAAAGTCAAATTTATGGGGGGGGGAATCACGTTTTATCTAAAACTAAATCTAATAATCTAAAACTAAAATATCGAAAAAAACATACTATTAACAGATGCAGCTACAGGCTGATAGAAATGCTGGTTGGATACACTTGGCTGCTGATGGGGCGTTAGAGGCTGCTGACGGTGCCATTGAGTTAGAGGCTGCTGAATGTGACATTGGGTTAAAGACTGCTGTGGCAAAGCTTGTTGATTAAACGGCATTTTCGGTGTCACTTCATTAAACCATTGAGTTAGAGTCTGCTGACTGTGCCATTGGGTTTGAGGCTGCTGACGGTGCCATTGAGCTAAAGGCTTCTGTAGCAAAGCTTGTTGATTCAACGACATTTTCGGCACTTCATTAGGATTCTGTAAGAAAGTAAATGAATAAATGAATTTCAATGAATATATTCTCACGAATGTAAATTCAGTTTATCATAAAATGGGAAATCTGATCAAATTACTTGTATTTATTAGCATGTAAACTGCAAAAATTGTATATTCCGACAACTGAATTGTACAACTAAATAACTTTAAGAACTAAATTATTTAAAACTTTTTCCGGAATTAATTCTATTGCTGAGTCATGTAATAGCTTATATGCTTTACTAAGAAATTAAAGCAGTGCTTAAAAATGTCATAATATGATATATGACATATGTCATATATGACATAGTTATAATATGACAAAACTACGAATAGGTTAAATATGAGCATAGCATATTCTTCCCTAGCTATATACTCCAAAAAGTAATGGCACTACAGATACAGAAAAACAAAGGTGTAAAAAATTTTTTCCATGTTGCTTTCACCCTCAGGTTAGATTAGTACCATTGCCTGAAATGCACACATGCCCGGTGTTCCTTTCATTGATGTTATTTTAAAATGGTCGAATTTTCCGAGCATGCGCAGAAAGCTCAGCACATTCTTCGAAAAATTTCTAAACGAAAATATGTTTATTTGGTTTTTGTGCATTAATGACTTCAAATAAGTCAGTTGAATAAGTTGTGTGAATTTATCGAATCAGACTTTCTTTTATTAATGATTACCAAACCTTTCTTTAAATCAATTCAAGCATTTATGTTACTGATTACATCAATTCTAACACAATTATTAGTGAGATAGCTGAAACTTTTAATTATCAAAGATTTTTGGGATTTTGTTTTGATTTCTTTATTCAAATATCTGCTCTGTTATATGTATGTTGCAGTTTTTATTAAACAAGCTGTTACAGCTTTGGTATAATTCTCATGTTTATACTGCTCTCTAAAATAAACTTTCGGATGTATGCGTAATGTTTAAAAAGTGTAAGGAAGGAAAAATTGAGATAATCTCTGATGGATGAAATATAACTTAAAAATCCCTGCCTCTCCCGATTATACTCATTTTCCTAAAAAATGGACACAGGAAGAGAGAATTCTAAATGTGTCTGTTATCTTCCTCATTTAATTTTCCCAAATAAATTGAAGATGGATGCTATAGAATTTGATATATAATAAGGAGTGCACTATAATAGATTTTCTATAAGTTTTTCTCGTAAAAATTTTCCAGTACAATTTTAAAATCAACAGTTTCTGAACGATATTTAAGTAGTAAACAAATATTAGTTTTTAGATTTTTCGCTTTATCCAAATTGATTTTCATCAATTTAAACTGCAAATAAGAGTTGATTTTAACAAATCTAAAAACCGTGACACGNAACCTCTGATGGATAAAATAGAACTTAAGAATTCCTTCCTCTCCCGATTATACTCATTTTCCGAAAAAATGGACACGGGAAGAGAAAATTCTAAATGTGTCTGTTATCTTTTTCATTTAATTTTCCCGAATAACCTCTGATGGATAAAATAGAACTTAAGAATTCCTTCCTCTCCCGATTATACTCATTTTCCGAAAAAATGGACACGGGAAGAGAAAATTCTAAATGTGTCTGTTATCTTTTTCATTTAATTTTCCCGAATAACCTCTGATGGATAAAATAGAACTTAAGAATTCCTTCCTCTCCCGATTATACTCATTTTCCTAAAAAATGGACACAGGAAGAGAGAATTCTACATGTGTCTGTTATCTTCCTCATTTAATTTTCCCAAATAAACTGAAGATGGATGCTTACATTCTTTGGCATTTTTCGATACGTGTAAAAAAAAAAATTCGGTCACCCAATCAGAATATAGATATAATAAGGCGTGCACTATTATAGATTTTCTATAAGTTTTTCTCGTAAAAATTCGGCAGTACAATTCTGAAATCAACAGTTTTTGAAAGATATTTAAGTAGTAAACAAACATTAGTTTTTAGATTTTTAATGAGTAACTTTATTTTTGTGCAGTAAACGTTAAATGAAATTTTTAGCTTTATCCAAATTGATTTTAATCAATTTAAGCTGCAAATAAGAGTAGATTAAAAAAAATATAAAATCTGTGACACATGTAACTTTAAATTACTCACTCAAAATTACATATTACATTATTTTATTGCTTTAAAAATTTGAGGACTAATTCATGAAAAATCTAGAAATTTCCTCCAAGTATAGTAGAGCGACTCTTTTAATTTTTACTTACCTCCTTTGAAAATTATTATAGCGAGAAAGCACAAAATAAAAAATTTAACCTAAAATCCTAAATTGCGTGGGCAGAGGCCTGTTAAGTTTCTAAAGTGGTGCATACAAAACATATAAATTAATCAAAAATCAGTATAGCTAAAAAGTGCACAAAAATTATATATTTTACACAGTTAAACTTACCTGGGTTATTCTATCTTCTTTTAATATTTTCTGGATGCAATTTTCAAGGTTCAGCTGTTCATCTTCAGTTAACACATCTTGAAAGTTAATCTGATTTTCCTTCTCTTGATTCAGAAAATTAATGCAGGTATCTAAATTCAGAAGTTCTTCTTCGGTGAGTAACCTCCCGAAGTCTACATTATTAATATCGTAATCTTCCATTGTTATCTGAGAAAATTTAAACAACATTAATTGGGTGAAATTTATACCGTTATATTATCATTTAAAATGAGGTTTGGCAATTAAACTAAAAAACAACTAATTATGAATTTTTCTCCTGCTTTTAAAAAAAAACAATCTTTAAAATCTTATCCTTTAAAATAAGGTTTGGCAAATTAAATTAAAAAACAACGAATTATGAATTTTTTCTTCTGCTCTAAATAAAGAAAACAATAATCTTTAAAATCTTATCATTTAAAATAAGGTTTGGCAATTAAATTAAAAAACAACGAGTTATGAATTTTTTCTCCTGCTTTAAAAAAAGAAAACAGTAATCTTTAAAATCTTATCATTTAAAATAAGGTTTGGCAATTAAATTAAAAAACAACGAATTATGAATTTTTTCTCCTGCTTTAAAAAACAAAAAACAATAATCTATCAAATCTTATAAAAATAAAATATTAAATATTCAGACCTGAAACAATAGTTGTTTTTATAATAAGTTTAATTAAAATAAATGTAATTAAAATAAATTTAATTAAAATAAATTTAATTAAAATAAATTTAATTAAAATAAATTTAATTAAGATAAATTTAATTAAAATAAATTTAAATTAAAATAATCTTAATTAAAACTACTATTTTATATTTAACTATTAGTCTTCTTCCCTTACTCGCTGCTGATTCCCAAAATTGTTATGCAATCTTATATGGGTTGCTTAGCAAATCATTCTCGCTTGCTGGCTAAGTTATACCCAATAATCTTAAGAATTTTAGTCAATTGTTAAAATAGTTAGAACTAATTCCTTTTTAAAAATTCAGCATTTTCAGTCAATTTTAAGTTACTAGTTGACCAACGGTATCTCACCCATTGTGGTGGTCCTGAAAGAGTGGATACCACCTCTGGAGAACGCACTAGGTCTGCTCATCGGCAAGACCGATTGTGCAGCTCATTGTAAATAAAAAAAATTTAATTAAATTAAAAAATAATAAGTTATAGAACGGAATGATTTCAAAATTGAAACAAATGGAATGCATAGGAAAACCTGCAGCAACTCACTAATTATGCTTTTAAAAGACAAATACTTTTCTTCTATAGAACACTTTTTTTTATATGGACTATACGTTTTTAACCTTTTCTTCTAACCTTCCAGTCATACAGCTCATTTTAATTCAACTTTTCGTTGTCCACGAAAGAAAAGAACCACGAATTCAGAAATTTGCGAACAAGTATTTTCCCATTTTTATGCTTTTGAGAATTCACGTGCTTGATAATTCAATATTTTGATATCAACGTGAAAAATAAATGAAAGCTTTCTTTGTAATCGTTTAAGAGGAATACGATTGCAGGTTAATCTAATATTATCAAAAATCTATTTAAATGAATCATAATAAAAAGTTATAAAAAGATTTTCCTAAACTCCCAATGACAAAGACTTCTTTTGCTTTGTAATTAAATAAAAGTATGCTATAACCATCATCCTTTTATGTAGCAAAAGAAATAAATACCTATTTAAGTAATAAAAAAATAAACAACCTATTTTTTTGTATTAATTAAATTAAGTGCCATTAAATAACAGTTTCAAAATAAGTCAGGCACTATGAAAAATACTCTGTTTATCATTCATTGGAATTTAAAATCAAAATTAAACTATAAATTTAAAACTGTTAAATGTTGAATGCTATTCATTCTAACACATTTGAACTGTTAATTAATCTATTCTAGATATAGATATTATAGTAATAATAATATTAATATATAAAATTAAACCATTATAGGCTCTTCCTCCTATTCGCTAGTGCTTCCCAACCCCTAAAGATTGCAATGCAATCCTATGTGGTTTGCTTTACAAACTATGCTCACTTTATGTGATAGATCCATTTAAAATGTCTCCTTAGAAACTTAACAATTTAAATCAATTTTAAAATCCTTAAGACATATTCCTCCTTTAAAAAATTTATAAAATTTGCCAATAATAATTTTTTGAATTAAAGAATTTAAAAAAATGACAAACAATAGAAAAAACTTACAGTAACAAAAATAAAATTATGCTTTTAAAAAACAATTACTATTGAAGATTCATAAATTTGTTAAAAAAAACATTTATAATTTTCAGAACCGCGAGCTATCACAGAAAATCTGCCAATAAAATATAAAACAAAAAATCTACAATTTACAATATATTCTAGAGCATCGTAAGTACAAGTAAATGACAGTTGCAAAATAAGTCAAAAAATATTAAAATATAAAATTTTGTTTATCATTCAATATTTAAAATATAAATGTTATATGTTGATTTTCATGCAGCATTTGAGCTTTAAATTTATCTGTTCTAGACTTTTAATGAAAATAAAGTGTTGTCAATAAAGATGAAAAATTAGTCAATCACTAATGAAATAATATATTTTGTTTTTCACTCAACATTTGAAATCAAAATTATTATCAATAAGGTAAAAAATTATTACCAATAATTGTCATTAATGAAGTTAAGGGACATTTGAAAACTGATGAAAAATTGGTCAAGGACTGTCTGAATTATTTTTAAAAAAAGTCATTACCAAGTTTGTTATTAATTGAATTATCAAATAAACTAATGATGTAAATGAATTATTCGAACAAAGAGCACGTATATAAATCGTTTTAATTATAAATTGGGCTTGTCGAGGCCATATTTGGTTCCAAATAATAAAAAAAAGAGATATTTTTAGATTGATACAAAAATTAAAAACACATTACAGAAATAGTTTATTATAAAATTTTTCGAACCTTTATGTAGATTTCGTAAAATGTTAACAATGCTTAGAGCTGAAAATTGCTTTTATTTTTATTAAGATAAAAATTTTTATAAGTTTATTAGTTTTATTAAGCCTTACGTAATGAATTTTCGAATTTCTCTTTCAGAAAGTCGATATTGAACAATATATTTAGTTTTATTTCACATGTATATTTAAAATGCTATTAAAAAATTTTTGTTCAAAACACAGGGAACCAAATTATTGATCCAAAAAAAATTATTACATATTTAAACATTACAATTTCTTATAGAGCTGTTAGCAGGATATGAACTCGAATTATTATGCTCAAACTTGCCTTTATTTTAGGAAAATATTTTAAAATTTTTTAAACAGTACTCAAGATTAATAATATTAAAAACCCTGCTTACCAAAATAAAAATGAAATACTAAAATGAAGTATGAAGTAGTAAATGAAGTACTCGAACGCAGTAATAAGGCTTAACAATTATCGAATTTTTAAACATTACGACACCTGCTTGCCAAAAATATAAATAAAATAGTAAACAAAGCTGTTTTTAAAAAGAAATTGAGTCGAACCCAGTAAGAGAGCTTAACAATTAATGCATTTTTATACATTTCCCAAGATTGACATTATTAGGCCCCTTGCTTACCAAAAAAAAAAATTTTAAAATGCTAAATAAGACTATTTTTAAAAAAAAATTTATACGAACCCTGTAGGACAGCTTTATAATCATCGAATGTTTAAGCTGTACTCAAAATTGATAATATTAGGAACAATGCTAACCAAAAATAAAATAAAGTGCTAAATAAGACTTTTTAAAAACGAAATTCAATCGAATCCAGTAGCATAGCATTATTGAATTTTCAAACATTATTCAAGATTGGTAATGATAGAACCTCAGCTTAGCAAAAATAAAAATCAAATTAAATAAAAAAACAGACATAATAAACATAAGGGTACTCTTTTAGATTAAACTAAAGGGATATCTTTGCCATAAACTAAGGAATTAAATAAAATATAAATGAAAATTAAGAACTAAAATAATACAAGTAAATTTACTTACAGAAAATAATCCTAATAACACGTGTAACTACTAAAACTACTTAGTTACTACTGACTTACTTCAACTATTTAAACTATTATGCTTCGATACATGGGTTAAAAAAAATGGCGGTCTTGAACAATCTGATTGGTTGAGAAGTCTCTACTCGATAAGCCCTAGTGTATACACGAAAAACAGGTTCTTGCCACTGCCCTACCTACATGGATCTTCGTCCCCCACCCCAACTCCCACCAATTTTGACAGATTTGATTGATTGAAGATTCGGACTGTGGAAAGGGGGACTTGGTTTTGGGTCGAAATAGCAGGAACATGCCCTAAATTTTGGGGATAGTTTTTAAAAAATAAAGCAATCAAGAACCAGATTTTGTTAGAATTCGAGAAAATGGCTGTGGATGTTACGGCTATGACTTGGTGTTTCTATAAAACGTATACGCATAGTTTGCATTATGGATATTTTAGTGAAAAAAATTTAAGAAAATTGTTCACTCTTTGAAAGTTTTTGGAGATCATTTTTAATGTATTGAATTTGAATAAAATACTTAAGTTCGTAACTACAGTTAGACCTAGTGAACTTCCTTAAAAAATTCTACTAAAAGCGATTGTTCACTGCATCAAAAATGTTTGAATTTTTTTTAAATTTATTGCAAGAGTATGGTAAAAAGTTATTATAATATAAATTCTTGACAATCTAAATATATATATTACTTTTAGAAAATTATTATTATTTAAAAATTTTAAGAAATTATAGTTCAAAATTATATCTGGCAACATGGAATCTCTCTCTTTTTGCTACTTGTGATCGTCAACTTGAGAACGATCTTATAAAGAAATAAAGGCCTTGTGAGGGAAATAATTTTCTACTACAACGATAAATATGTTAGAAAAAAAATTAAAAGCAAAAATTTTGAGAAAAAATCACAAACAAAGCATTTAAGTTTGTAATAAATTTCAGACAAATCGGAATTTTGCGAACAAATTCCTGTTAAGAAATAAAAATGACTTGTTCTACAAGTCAAATTTTATCTAAGTATTGCATATCAACGGGCTACAGATCATCCAAGCGTACTATTTTTTCCCCTGCAAGAAACGTTCAAATTTTCCTTCATTAGATTTGTAATTTTTTGTTCTCCATTCTTTAGAAGCGAAGTTATAACTGTTGCTTTTGTTCACATGTTGACAAATGTTATTTTGGAAATTGCATACTTTAAATGCATTTTCAGAAAAAACTAAGATTTTGTGAAAATCTCTTTACGTTAAGACACATTACAAAAATAGCTTATCATAAAATTATTCGAACATTTATGTTGATTTTGTATAATATTAGCATAGTTTTAAACTAAAAACTGATATTATTTTAGTTAAGATTAAAATTTTAAAAGGCTTATTATTTTTATCAAGCCTTGCGTAATGATTTTTCGAATTTTTCTTTAAAAACATTATATGTAGTTGTATTATAGTTGCATGGTTACATAGTTATATGTAGTTGTATTATAGTTTCATGGTTATATATTTATATGTAGTTGTATTATAGTTACATGGTTATATAGTTATATGTAGTTGTATAAAAGTCATATTAAAATGAAGTTTATTATAAGATATTTAGTTTTATTTCATTGCCTATTCGAAATGCTTTAAAGATTTTTGTTCAAAACACAGGTAACAATATTAATGATCTAGATCAGAAATTTATCATATATTTAAGCGTTACAATTTCTTATAGAGCTGTCAGCGGGACGTAAATTTGAAGCTCTCTTACTCAAATTCGCCATAATTTTGAGAAAATATTTTAAACATTACTCACGATTAATAATATTAAGACCCCTGCTTACAAAAAATAAAAAAGAAATTTTTTAAAAAGAAATTGAGTCGAACTCATTAGGACAGCTAAACAATTATTGAATTAATAGTTCATTGTTAATTTTTATATTTCGTCGTATTCTCTATACTTTTTTCTACAGACTATTAAAGTTTCAAATTCTTATTTCTTATAGTTTTGAGTGGCAAAATTAATTTTCACGTAAAGCAGAAAAGTGAGAAAAATTCGCCTAACATTACTTGAAATTTGCAATAATTTTCAAGCAAACTGGTATTTCGAAAAAAATAGTCTGACAAATTTATAAACATATAAGGCACTTTTAGCATGCATAATGAAAATTAGCATGAACATTCCAAGTGAAATTTTTTTTAATAAATATTTACTAATTTTTGTTGTTTTTTTATATCATTATAGTCGAAAATATTTTTAATTGCTGCGCATGAAAATTCTTGCATCATTTTAAAATATGTATTGATAACTTTAATAAAAAGGTATCGATAACTTTAAATACAAAAATACAAAATATGAAAAAAAAATCGATCAATTATTTCTCAATAAATTAAATTCTAACTAAACGACTTTTTAAAATTGGATAACTCAGAAACTAACTAATTAATTTCGCTCAAATTTCATTTTTCGTAATTAAAATGAAGTAAAACTTTATTTACTCTACAATTCAAAAGTTTTTCGCCTATTATAAAATAAAATAATAAAACTATAATTTTTTACAAAAAAAATTCTTCTACAAAATTTGTCTTAAAATAATATCAAAAAAACAATTTTTTTACTTTTGGATAAACGAGTTTTATGATTGCTTAAAAAAAATTTTTTTTTTAATTTTAGGTGATATAACGAAGTAAAAAAAAAAAGAAAAATTCTGTAAAAGAATAACTATAAAATATTTTGTATTGCTTAAATAAAATTTTTGCATCATTTTAAAAGATGTAACTTTAACTGACAAAATGCAATATTTAAACAAAATCGATCAAAGATCACTAGAATTTAAAATTTAAGTATAACTCTTTTTAAAATTGGATAACACAGAAACTATCCGGATTAATTTCACTCAAACTTCATATTCTCTCACTTTAAATTGCATAGTTTTAAAAGAAGTTAAACTTCGTATAATCTACAATTCAAGATTTTCCAAACAATATTAAATAAAATATTAAAATTATAAATTATCGTAAAATTATTTTAATAAATTATTTTTAAAAGAATATTAGAAAGATATTTTATACTTTTGGATAAGCGAACTTTAAAACTATAAATAAAAAATATTCCGATTCACATAATTTGTCGCTTTATAACGAAATAAACCCCACAAAAAAGTTGCTATAAAAAGCATAACTGTATAAGGACACAAAAATTTCTCTACTGTTAAACTGTGCAAACTATCGAGTTGCAGATGAATTAGCAGTCCTTGTGTTACATCTAATCTAATTAAGAATTTGTTTTTTTGTGAATATACATAAGCAGAAAATTAATAAAATTAAAAAAAATTTTGGTTACTTCGAGGTGAAAATTTATAAAAACTACTGCTAATGTTTAAAATAAAATGGTTATTAGAGAAGCAAATTTCTTTATTAACGATATTAATAATTTTATTTTGATTTGAAAAGCGAATTAAGAAATACTAAGGCAATATTTTATAAACACTTGTTTTCTTTTAATATTTTTTCAGTATATTGTTATTGGAAATATTATATTGTGCCATTTCTCATTCATTCAGAAAAAAAAATCCTAAAAATTAAATATAAGTGTAACAAAAACCAAGGTTAAATATGTAAAAAATAAATAAAAACAAAAGGTTCAAACTTTCTAAGAGAAAAAAAGGGAAAGATAATAAGAAAACGGTATTAGATTTCATGTTATTTAAAAATCTATGCTAAACTTGAAACGAAAACGTATTAAAATATTTTAACTATTGAATTTGCTTGCTATTTTTGTCTAAGAAAATCAAAACAAGGGAGAATTAAAGTTATTTTCATATTTCTGTTAAAAATGTGGATTAGAAAATAAAAATAAAATATTCATACAAATTAAGAACTGAAATAATACAAGTAAATTAGCTTACAGAAAATAATCCTGATGTTCCTCCTTATAGAAAATAATCCCAGCAATTGTACAAAACTAACTATTTAAATTAATCTCTTTCGACACGTGGTTAAAGAAATTGCACTCTTGAGCAATCTGATTGGTTGAGAAGTCTCAGCATAATAAGTACTAGTGTATACATGAAAAACAGGTTCCTGCTACAACCCTACCTACGTGGAAATGAGAAAGACCCTGAGTAGTGGGGAAAAAAAGTCAATCAAGAACCAGTTTTTGCCAGAATTCGAGGAAATGGCTGTAGATGTTGAGGCTATGAGTTAGTGTTTCTAAAAATAGGTATAGGTATAGCTATTTTAGTCAGAAAATTTAAGAAAATAATTCACTATGTTAAAAGTTTTTAGAGATCACTTTTAATGTATTGACTTTAAGATAAATAAATTTGATTTTAAGATAAAATACAGTTGGATCCTGTTAAAGTTAACTGCCTTAAAAAATTCTACTGAAAGCAATTACTCACAGTATCCAAAATTTTTGAAAAAATAATTTTTAATTTATTGCAGGAGTATTGTGGAAGAAAGTTATTATAATAATACATAATTTGCTTTACAAATTTTATAAATTCTTAACAAACTAAATATGCAGATTCTCTTTTCAATTATATATATATATATATATATATATGTAATAAAAAAATGAAATACTTTTGTATTAAATTCCTTAATAACGATATTAAT